TTCAAAATATTTTTTTTTAATTTTTTTAAGAGAGAGAGAGCACGAGCAGGGGAGAGGGGCAGAGGGAGAGGGAAAGAAAGAGACAGACAGACAGACAGACAGAGAATCTTAAGCAGGCTCCATGTTTAGCACGAAGCGCAAGACAGGGCTTGATCCCACGCCCCTGGGATCATGACCTAAGCCAAAATCAAGAGTCAGATGCTCAACTGACTGAGCCACCCAGGTGGCCCTTAAAATATATTTTAAAATTATAGACAAATCAAATGCCACATAGTTTCTTGCCTATGTTGTAAAATCTCCAGTTTTCAGGAAAATAACAGCCAATATTCATCGAGCATTTCCTATATACCAGGCACTATTCCAAGCATTATACGTGCCTTCTATTACTGAACTTTTGCAACAACCTTTTGACGTAGGTACTATTATTATCCCTAGTTTATACAGCAAGGAATCTGAAACTCAGAGAAGGTCTGTAACTTACCTAGGGTCCTACAGCTGGGATTCAAATCTGGGCAGACTTCCTCTAGGACCTGCCCCTTTCACTGTAGTGTCTCTCATACTTCTGGAAATAAGATTTGAGATATTGAGAACCATCTACCTTATTAAAATGTCAATGAACATTTATTGAGTGCCTTTGGTAAGGAAAGTCCTATATAGTATTTACAAAGGTGATTTAAGAGATAGCCCTTCCCCTTACAGTGAGTCAAGCAGGTATTAAGTTAATATAATAAAAGGCAGACTGTCCTAAAGACTACACTGGAGGCAGAGATAAAGCGTGATAAAAACACATGAAAAGGATAGTCAATAAGCAGGCAATCAACAAGGACTTCCTGGAGGAGGTGGCCTAAGTAATTTCCTTAAATGACAAATAAGGCACTACTAGTAGAGATGGGGGAGTACAGTCCCCATCTGCCAGGCAGTGTGGTATAATGAGTGGGCTCCAATCCAGATGTCATCACTTACTAGCTATGCAGCTTCATCTGTGAGCCCTGGGCTCCTCATCTGTAGTCACATGGACCCTTCAGAGCCATGCTGATTGTGGTGGGCATAATGCATATGAAAATCTAGAACATCATACGGGAGGGGCTCACTGATGTGCTGTTCCCTTTTAAGTTCACTGAGTCATTTCAGAACGCAGTGCTCTGGGGCCGCCGTCCAACAAAGCCTGGTCTGTGTTCCTCTGAGAAAGCACTCTCGTCAAAGCTGTGCTTCAGTCAAATATTCAAAAGCAGACCACTTCAACTCACAACAGGGTTTGTAAAGGAAATGAGCATGGAGGCTTAACTCCAGTGGTGTGGCTAGGAGCTACTGTAATAGAACAAATGGATTGTTTATCAGCTTTCTATCTGCCCCTAACAAAACCATGTGAAATGAGGCATTAAACTCCGGGTTTTTTAAAAAGATGACAAACACTGGCTAATTTACTGGAGTAGAACATAGGGAGTCAAATGTTTAGTTTTGCATTAAATCTATATCTAGCATTTTCATTAAAAGGGGCAAAATGTAGACTTTATTGATGCTTCAGTGCCCATTTCAGATTAATGCCTAACATTTAAAACTGTGCATGAAATTGCAAATGTATCAGCAAACACACAAGAAGGACCAGACTAAGTGCTGTGTGCTTATTCATAGCCAGCCATTTCTGTGGCGGCCCATGTGTTATTGCAGGAGTTATTTGCCCACACTTGCCTAGGCTGTGAATAGTTAATATCCCTGATTGCTTAGTTAAATATCTTTTTAGACTGAGAGAGAGGACAGGGAAGGAATAGGGATCATATAATTTTTGTGTAATGAACAATTAAGTCATGATACCCTTCTTGATTTATAGTTGATATTTCCAGGGTAATTAGAGTTGTATCCTTCTGGAAAAAAAAAGCTGTTAGCTTCCTTAATCGTCATTCATGGCCACACTTTAGCTGAAGTAGCTAAGGAATAAAAAGGACTAAAGACCTTAGATTAAAAATAATTATTTTTCAAACAGAATCTAATTTATGCCACCACCAAAACAATAAGATGAAATTCTCCCCCATTATGAGATGAGAACATTTTTTAATAATAAGTCTTGACTCAGATATGTCTTAAATGAGGTTATCCAAATGGCTGGGGAGAAACTCTGTAATAGAAGTTATCTTCTATATCTTCACTACATAGAGTAATAAGAGATAAATGCTATATAAATGAAAAGTGATACAGTTCAGAATTAGGAAACAGGCTGGTGTGATTTTTATGGAAGGAGGCTTTGGAGTCAGACTCCTTGGCTTCGAATCCCAGATCTGGTCCTTGCTAGCAATTACTAATCGGCAGACCCCACCTGAATATGCAGTGGAGGGGGGTTAAGTTCTTCAAAGGGAGGGAGGTGGTGTCCCAAGATGAGAAACAAAAAGGATACGAGGAGATGGAAACAACAGATGTCTAGGCTACTTCAAAGAATGATAATGTAACTGAGGGTTGGAGGGCAGGGACCAAAGGCCCACTCTCAAATCCACAGGACAGACAAGGGCTCAGAAGCTAAAGAATTTAAAGTAGAAGCTGAGGATTCACTTCAAACTTACATGAGGTGATGGTCCACAGAACAGGCTCACATCCAGCCTTACTATACAACAGCAGCACCTTCCTGGGGATGTTCCCCAAGCACCTCAGACAGTGACGACTAGCCATGAGAGCAAGCTATATATACACAGTGTCCAGGACGAGATTTACGATTGGTTTCAGAGAAAGAGGTGGGATGGGCCAGAGCAGAGAACCCATGGAATGATCTACGGACTTCCAAACACTTTATTTTGACCTTGTGTTTAATCTTGTGTCTCATTCATTCAGGTATTCTCATAGCATACAAGATTAGACACTAACTACTGAGTGCCTCAGTACCACCCAGCACCCCCAACCAATCTGCAGGAGGATTTGCTTCTAGGAATACACACAGGGATTCTGATACTATCTCAAGGGATCTCTGCTTTCTGTTTGGGTTCCAGGTTCCCAGAGAATAAACCATCAATATCTAGGCCTCTATTTTCCAAACAGAATTCAAAGAATAGTAATTCTGGTGGAAATAATGGGTGCTACACAAGAGGGGTTCTATGATCAAACACATTTTTCAAGCGATTTCTACACCCAACATGAGGCTCAAACTCACAACGTCGAGATCAAGAGTCGGGTGCTCTACAGACTGAGCCAGCCAGTGCCCCTAAACAAATTTTAAAGACACCCTCTTAAAGTTACATTTATGTCTCTATTCTGCAAGACTTCTCAGAGCCTTTAAGAGGATAATGTTCCAGGGTGTCTGGGTGGCTCAGTCAGTTAAGCATTTGACTCTTGATTTCAGCTCAGGTGGTGGTCTCATGGTTCATGGGTTCAAGCCCCACATCAAACTCTGTGCTGACAGTGCACAGCCTGCTTGGGATTCTCTCTCTGCCCTACCCCCGCTTGTGCACGCACCCTCGCTTGGGCGCTCTCTCTCTCTCGCACTCAAAATAAGTAAATAAACTTAAGAAAGAAAGAAAAAAAGAAAGAAAGCAAGCAAGCAAGCCTCAAGGGAATGCTGCTCCCACACTAATAACAAGAAAAAATATGGATAATCTACAAAACTCTCACTTTGTTGAGCCCATCAGAGAACTGAGCTGTAAAGCAACCAGAGAATTGAATTCTAAATGATGATAAGCCCTTCTGAGCCGAGACACAAGACACACCAACTATTTCTCTTCTGGCAAAGAATAAGAAGAATAGGCAATCACCACAGAACTGGGTAAGAAGAAAAATTCTTAAAGGCTGAATATAAGCTAGCATAACAGCTTAAAAGCCCTAAGCACACCAGACACAAGACGGATCCCTAGCTGCTTGCCATCTCTTCTCCATTGGCCTCTCCTGGGTACCCATGAGAAAGACTGTAAGCAGGCAGTAGATGTGAGAGATCTTTTCTCTTGGGGATACAGTCCCGCAGCACCTGCCACGGTTTGAGTGTAGAGCCTCAACTGGAGAAGCCCTTTCGTACCCTGAGTCCTATATGAGGACAAGATGGGGAGGGGTGTCTGCCCCTGATACTGGGGCAAGAGACATACTTGTGCCTGGGATCCAGCTCTGACACAAAGCAGAGGTCTGCTGCTGCTGGGTGAGGGACAGAAAACTCTGGTGGGCCCAAGAGCCCCCACCAATTCAAAGCAAAGTTGAGTTTAGCTGGGGAAAGATAACAGGAAATCACAGTGGTTATTAGGGTGGGTAATGAAATCAGACAGACCTGGCTTGGGATTCAGGATCCACCACCTAATAGCTATGTGACCTGAAGTACATTATCCAAAGTCAGTCAGCCTTAGTTTTCTTATGTAAAATAAGCAGGAGAGTAACATATCTTCCCCAGAAAATTGCTAGGAAAACTGGAGTCATGTAAGACACAGCACAGTCCCTGGCACATAGGAAGCAATCGATAAAGGGTGGTTGTCGCTTTAGTCACAGCAGTTATTAGAAACTGATAAACAGCAGTTAAGAATTAGTCTGCTAAGACTGCCATAACAAAATATCATATAGCCTGGATGGCCTAAACAACAAAAATGTATTTTCTTTCAATTCTGGAGGCCAAAAGTCTGAGATGAGGGTGCCAGCATGGTTGGGTTCCAGTGAGAGCTATGTTCCTGATCTACAGATGACCGACCACCTTCTCACCGAGTCCTCACATGGCTGAGAGGGCAGACAGACAGAGACGTCTGACGGCCCTTCTTACCGGGTCAGTAATCCATCATGGGGGTCCTACTCTCAAGGCCTAATCTAAACCTAATTATCTCCCAAAGGTCCCCAGCTCAGAATACCATTAGTGGTTAGGGCTTCAAAATACAAATTTGAGGAAGGGACACAATTCTGTCCCTAGCAAGTTACAAAGAGCACTTTCCCAATTTAGTAAAAATTAGTTGTTTTTACCTGACAACTTTTTGGTTCCCCTTTTTTCCTGTTAATATTTGCCTAGTTTTCTTCTAGGAATTCACTTACCCACTTTCAATTCATGTGTGTTTCAGGTGGGGCTGACTCCTCCCATCCCTACCTTTAGGGGTGGGGACACGAGCAAGGCCTGGCCAACAATCATATTCCACATCTAGGCTAAAGTAATCAGTTCAGAGATAAACGCGTGTCAGCCAAGACAGTTCAATGAGAGAAAGTCCTGGAACTTTTTAATGTAACTACTGGGAAAGAGAAACTCTTCTAGCTCCTGAAGCTGCTAAGGCCGGAGTTGCTAACTGTGAAGAGAGACCCTGCCTGAGATGGAAACCTCTGCGTTCTGAGGAAGGAAGACCTGAGAGATGGTGATGGGGTCCTAAAGACATTGTCTGAGTGCTGGACCATCAAGTAATTTAACTGAACTAACATCTCTATAACATTAAGTGAACCTAAGATGCCTGGGTGGCTAGTCAGTTAAGCATCTAACTTTGGCTCAGATTCATGATCTCACTGTTCGTGAGTTTGAGCCCCACATCCAGCTCTCTGCTGTCAACATGGAGCTTGCATCAGATCCTCTGTCTCCCTCTCTCAGCATCCTCCCGTGCCTCTCAAAATAAGTAGACATTTTAATAAATAAATGAACCCAAGCATTTTTCTCTCAAACCAGCTTGCTGTTTGACCAAACTCAATGTTTATTGTTTCAAAATTACATCAAGAGAAAAATCTTTGTCACCTTGTAATAGGCAGAGTTCTTAGATACAACATCTAAAGCATGAGCCATTAAAGAAAAAAATTGATAAGTTGGACTTCATCAAAATTTTTAAGTTCTGTTCTATGAAAAACACTGTTAAGAGAATGAAAAGACAAGCTACAGACTCGGAGAAAATATTTGCAAATCACAGATCTGACAAAGGATTTATATCTAGACTATATAAAGAACTTCCAAAACTCAATAAAAAAAACTAAAAAAATGGAGGAAAGATTTGAACAGACACTTTACTAAAGAAGATATACAGATGGCCAACAAGTACATGAAAAGATTTTCAACGTTATTAGTCATTACAGAAATGCATATTCAAGCCACAATGAGACACCATCTCACACCTATTAGTATGGCTTTAAAAAAAAAACACACAAAACCTGACAATTGGGGCACCTGGGTGGCTCAGTCTGTTGAGCATCCGACTCTTGAATTCAGCTCAGATCATGATCACAGGGTTGTGGGATCAAGCACTGTGCTGGGCTTCATGTTAAACATGGAGCCTGCTTAAGATTCTCTCTCTCTATCCCTCTGCCCCTCTCCCCTGCTTGCATGTGTGCTCTCTCTCGCTCTCTCGCTCTAAAATACCTTTAAAAAACTGATAATAATAAGCGCTGATAAGAATCGGGAGCAACTGGGGAGGTGCCTGTGAAGCTCAGTTGGTTAAGCATCCAACTCTTGATTTCAACTCAGGTCATGATCTCACAGTTCTGAGATTGAACCCTGCTATAGGGCTCTGTGCTGACAGTATGAACCCCCTTGAGATCCTCTCTCCCTCTCTCTCTGCCCCTCCCCTGCTCACGTTCTCTATCTCTAAATAAATAAATAAACATTAAAAACAAACTGGAGCAACTGGAACTGTCATATACTGCAGGTGGGACTGTAATATGGTACAGCCACTGCAGTGGATTAAGTGAGTGTCCCCCCCCCCAATTCATGTCCACTCTGAACCTCATTATGTGACCTTATTTGGAACTAGGGTCTTTGCAGATATAATTAATTAAGATAAGGTCAGTTGGTTAGGGAGGGCCCTAAATCCAGTGACTGGTGTCCTCAAAAGAAGAGGAAGGACACAAAGAGACACATGAGAGATGATGTGAAGACTGAGACAGAGATTGAAGTAATGCAGCTGCAAGCCAAGGAATGCCAAGGCTGGCTAGGAGCCGTCAAGGTAAGAAGAGGCAAAGAAGGGTTCTCCCCTAGAGCCTTCAAAGAGACCATAATCCTTGGGGCACCTGGGTGCCTCAGTTGGCTAAGCGTCCAACTTCAGCTCAAGTCATGATCTTGTAGTTCATGAGTTCGAGCCTCAAGTTGGGCTCTGTGCTGACAGCTCAGAGCCTGGAGCCTGCTTCAGATTCTGTGTCTCCCCCTCTCTCTCTGCCCCTCCCCTGCTTGTGCTCTGCCTCTCTTTCTCTCAAAAATAAATAAACATTAAAAATAAAGAGAGCATAACCCTGTCAACACCTTGACTCCAGACTTCTAGCCTCCACACTGTGAGGGAATAGACTGCTATTATTTTAAGCCATCAAGTTTGTGTTAATTTGTGACTGTCGCTCTAAGAAACCGAAAAACAGGTTGGCAGTTTCTCAAAATTAAACCTGCCTTTGTCCTGTAACTCAGAAATCCCACTCCTAGAATATCTACCCAAGAGAAACAAAAACTTATATCCATAAAAACTTTTACAGGAATTGTTTACAGCAGCTTTATTTGTAATCACCAAAAACCGGAAATAATCCAAATGTCCTTCAAACGGTGAATGGGTAAATACACAGGCACAGGCATACTACAGAACGCCATTCAGCAATAAAAGAACTATCTCTAAACATAAGAACACGGATAAATCTCAAATGTATTATACGAAGTAAAAAAAGCCACGCTCAGAAGGCCTACACTCTATGACTATTTATAGGACATTCTAGAAAATACAAAACTATAGGGTCTGAGAGCAAATTGGTTATCAGGGTTTGGGGGTCAAAAGAGGGGCTGCCTACAGGGGGCAGCATGAAGAGGGAGTTTGAGTGACAGAAATGTTCTTTATCCCGAGGGTGATGATGGTTATACACCTCTATGCATTCGTTAAACCCATAGAAGTTTACACAGCAAAGAGTGAATTTCACTGAATGTAATATATAAAAATAAACAAACAAATAAAACTACATTAAAGATATAGGAGCAGCTTGCCAATATAATACGTTTGTGTCTTTGCTTTTTAAAGTCATGCATGGGGCGCCTGGGTGGCTCAGTCGGTTGAGCTTCCGACTTCGGCTCAGGTCATGATCTCATGGTCTGTAAGTTCGAGCCCCGTGTCGGGCTCTGTGCTGACAGCTCAGAGCCTGGAGCCTGCTTCAGATTCTGTGTCTCCCTCTCTCTCTGACCCTCCGCTGTTCATGCTCTGTCTCTCTCTGCCTCAAAAATAAATAAACGTTAAAAAAATTATTTAAATAAATAAATAAATAAAGTCATGCATGCTTATGACGGCAAGATCTTCATTTGCATAATTATTTGATACACCTAAGGTCACTGAAATTTCTTTCAACAATTTAGTTGAAAACATTATCAAGCATCACCCATACATACTCAGTAGCTTCCTGTCCGCTGAAGGAAACTAATAGGAGTTCACAGGATTGACAACGTGGAGGGCTTCAACAGGAACCACTTTTGAACTGTTGTGATAATAAATCAGATTTGTGTAATTTTCTCAAAATAGAAAATAACCTCAAAACATCCATCTGAAAAAATATGATCACAAAAAGAGGAAGGTAGAGGAGGATGCAAAACTGTCTGAACAGTAACAAACCTTAGAAAAATTAAGTACTAAATGTGAAAGGAAAAAATGGGTTTCAGTATATCTATTTACCAGATCAACCCGACCGTGGGTTACCAATTGAGAAATGTTCACGAGTATGGATTTCTAACCTTTTACCTAAAAGAAAACAATGTTATTAAGCCCCAGTGGTCCCTCATCTTTGACAGAGACAGTGTATATAATTCTTAAGAAAGCAGGCTCTGGGGTTAGATAACTTTAGTTTTAATCTTAGATCTACTACCAGATTTGTAACCTTAGCCAAATCACTTAACCTGTAAAACGAGACTATTCATATCTATATTACAGAGTTGTCACATGAATCATATAACATAATGTGTGCTGAAGTTTATAGCAGTATCTGGAAGGTAATAACCCCTCAGCCAAAACAATCTTGAAAAAGAAGAACAAAGTTGGAAGACTCACATGTTGTAATTTCAAAACTTACCACAAAGCTACCGTAACCAAAACAGTATGGTATTAGCATAAGGATCAACATCTAGACCAATGGAATAGAATTGAGAGTCCAGAAACGAACCCATACATCTATGGCCAAGTGTTCTTCGACAGGAGTGCCAAGATCATTAGGTAGGGAAAGAAGAATCTCTTCAACAAATGGTGCTGAGACAATAGGATATCTGCCTGCAAAAGAATGATGCTGAACCCCTACCTCATACCATATACAAAAATTAACTCAAAATGTATCAGCAATCCAGATATAAGAGCTAAAATCATAAAATTCTTAGAAGAAAACACAGGGGGTAAATCTTTATGACCATGGATTTGGCAGTGGGTTCTTAGATATGACACCACAAGCCTGAGCAACAACAATAAAAAAAAAAAAAATAGATAGGCTGAACTTCATCAAAATTTAAAACTTTTGTGTGTTCAAGGACATCATCAAGAAAGTGAAAAGACAACCTACAGTATGGAAAAAATAACTGCAAATCATATATCTGATAAGGGTCAAGTAAATTATATTATTAGCTTATCCAGAATATGTAAAGAACTCTGACAACTCAACAACAACCCAATTTAAGACAAACAACCCAATTTAAGAATGGACAAAAAGACCTGAATAGACATTTCTCCAAAGAAGATATACAAATTGCAAATAAGGACATGGAAACAATGTTCGACATCATTAGCCACTAGAGAAATGCAAATCAAAACCACAATGAAATAGCACTCACATTGTCAAAGATGACTATAATCAAACACACACACACACACACACACACACACACACACACACAAAACCCCCCCAAAAAATGTAAAATAACAAGGGTTGGCAAGGATGGAGAAATTAGAATCCTCATACTTTGCTGGTGGGAATGTAAAATGGTGCAGCTGCTATGAAAAACAGTTTGGCAGTTTCTCAAGTTATTAAATACAGAATTACTATATGATCCAGCAATTCCACTCCTAGACACACACCAAAAAGAATTGAAGACAGGTACTCAAATACTTATACACACACGTTCATAGCAGCACTATTCACAATAGCCAAAAGGTGGAACCGATCCAAGTATCTATTAACTGACAGATGAAGAAACAAATTGTATATACATACCGTGGAACATTATTCAGCCACAAAAAGGAATGATGTACTGATACATGCTACAACATGGATGAGCCTCAAAAACATTCAGCTAATGTTTTAGAAGCTAGACAAAAAAAAAAAAAAAAAAAAAAAAAAAAAAAAAAGACCACACTTTGTATTATTCCATTTATGTGAAATATCCAGAATAGGTAAACCCATAGAGACAGGAAGCAAATTGGTGGTTTTCAGGAACTGATCAAAAGAGGGAATGGGAAGTGCCTGCTTAACAGGTTCAGGATTTTATTTTGGAAAAACAAAAATGCTTAGAAACAGAATAAAGTGCCTGCTTAACAGGTTCAGGATTTTATTTTGGAAAAAACAAAAATGCTTAGAAACAGAATAAAGGT